TTGATGAATATTGTAGTAGAAATCTAGAGGAAAGTTTTGATTGTAAAGGTGGTTTTCCTGAAGAAGTAATTCATACTGCAGACAGGATTTATGACTGTCCACCACCAACTGCCGAGCTAATGTTGAGCTTCACAGATGGAATTACGCAAACACCATCAATGCCTATATTTTCAGCAGAGAATTTTGAAATGAAGACACGTGACACAGCCATGCATTTTTATACCGGTTTAGAGTTGTATACTAAATTTTTATTTGTTTTGACCACACTTGGTCCAACAGCACATTGTTTGAGATACATATATTTTCAAATTGATAGGGTGTCATTTGAAAATCAGTTTTTTTATGACTTTTATGAAATTGATGCATTATACAACCAACTTTGAACTGTCTAGATTCTAGATTGAAACTAGTGTTAAGAATATTGTGTAAACATGGATTGTTTTTATGTCTAAACAGTGGCGTGAGGCTAACACTTGGCCATTTAGTGGTTTAGTCAGGTATTTTTCGCCATCCAACTTAGAATTAAAGTTTCCTACAACTTGGATTATTATTGACAGCACAGAATATCCCGTGATAAAACCTAAAGCTCCTAGAGCTCAGGCAACCTTTTCATCATATAAAAACAGAAACACTGAAAATACTTGTATGTTCGACACCTGGTGGTTTAGTCAACTATGTCTCTAATGCATATGTTGGTTGTACCAGTGACTGTGAAATAGTTGAAAGATGTAGAATAGTTCAATTATGTGATCCAGGTGACAGTGTGATGGCAGACAAAGGTTTAAATGTGCAAGATTTGTTTGCTCACTTTTTTCAAAAAAAGAAACAGAATTAGTTCCAAAACTCTTATACGGGATAGAAAAGTCTCCAATTAACACGTGCACATAGAGCTAATTATTGGACTTGGCAAAACATACAAAATTCTAAGAAATCCTATGAATGGAACTGAAACAAAACTTTCATCTGAAATAACATTTAGTTGTTTTCTGTTGTGTAATTTTAGAACTTGTATTGTGCCAAAGGATGCATAAATAAAAGTGACGCAATGAAGTTTGTTCTGATATATATATATAAATATTATTTACAATTACATGCACATGTAAATTGTAATGCATATAAAAATAAGGAGATGTGGTATGATATTCAGTGAGTTTATCGAACCAAAGTGCATAAGAAATGGGTTAAGCAGTTACAGGTGTTACTGTCACCATACAATCTCCAACAATTAGAAAAACTTGAACCGTGTAAATAATTTCAGAGATCTTACAACTAAGTTTTGTTGTCTCACCTTGACTTTGGTGAATTGTTTATATCTGTTGATGTAAATATAAAAAAGAAGATGTGGTATGATTGCCAATGAGACAACTCTCCACAAGAGACCAAATGACACAGAAATTAACAGCTATAGGTCACAGTACGGCCTTCAACAATGAGCAAAGCACATACCGCACAGTGAGCTATAAAAGGCCCCGAAATGACAATGTAAAACAATTCAAACAAGAAAACTAACGGCCTAATTTATGTACAAAATATGAACGAATAACAAATATGCAACACATAAACAAACGACAACCACTGAATTACAGGCTCCTGACTTGGGACAGGCACATACATGTACATACAGAATGTGGCGGGGTTAAACATGTTCGCGGGATCCCAACCCACCCCCTAACCTGGGACAGTGGTGTAACAGTACAATATAAGAGCGAACTATAAAAATCAGTTGAAAGAGGCTTAACTCATCAGATGGATAAATACAAATACAAGTGGACGTGGCCGGGTAGTTGTACATCCAAACAACAAAAAGACACTTAGTACAGATCTGAGTGTACTTGCATTTACTGACAGCTAGTTCAAAGCCACAAACTGATAAAAAAATCTTGCATCTAAGACTAAATTATCAATCAGTAAGCTCCCTTTAGAATTTTATAAATTTTAGATTTTACATTATTGAGTTATGGGGTTTTATTCATTAAAAAGGGGGGGATTTTCCAGTTTTTGGACAACAACTCAAAAATGCTTTAAGCAGTTCGCATGAAACTTTGGTGGTTTATTTATAGCTATTGATGTAATCTCCCTATTGATTTTCATAAATTTCAAATATGACATTGAGAATAAATTGAACTTTTTTTTTATTTGTTTATAGTCTGGCAACAGATTTATTAAGTATTGCACAACAGCACAGTGTATTGCACAACAGCAAGAAATCTTTAACTGAATATAAATTCAATTCATATAACCGATTTCAAGTTCTTTGACTACATTTAATCAGAAACTATAATATGTCAAATATTTAATTACAATCCAAATTCAGACCTGTATCAAGCTTGAATATTGTGTCCATTTTTGCCTCAACTGTTCAGGGTTGGACCTCTGTGGGTGTATCCAGCTGCGCTCAGCGAATCAGTTTATTACTTAATTAAGAACTCCTTTTTGTCGAGCCTGCAACTTTTGTCGCAGAGAGCTCCACATAGGGATAGTGATCCGGCGGCGGCGTTAGCTAACTTCTTAAAAGCTTTATATTTTAGAAGGTGGAAGGTCTGGATGCTTCATACTTTGTATATGGATGCCTCATGTTACGAAGTTTCCGTCAGTCACATGTCCAATGTCCTTGACCTCATTTTCATGGTTCAGTGACTACTTGAAAAAAAAGTTAAGATTTTTTGTAATGTTGAATTCTCTCTTATTATAAGTAATAGGATAACTATATTTGGTATGTGCATATCTTGCAAGGTCCTCATGCCCGTCAGACAGTTTTCACTTGACCTCGACCTCATTTCATGGATCAGTGAACAAGGTTAAGTTTTGGTGGTCAAGTCCATATCTCAGATACTATAAGCAATAGGTCTAGTATATTCGGTGTATGGAAGGACTGTAAGGTGTACATGTCCAACTGGCAGGTGTCATCTGATCTTGACCTCATTTTCATGGTTCAGTGGTTATAGTTAAGTTTTTGTGTTTTGGTCTGTTTTTCTTATACTGTATGCAATAGGTCTACTATATTTGGTGTATGGAATGATTGTAAGGTGTACATGTCTAGCTGGCAGGTGTCATCTGACCTTGACCTCATTTTCACGGTTCAGTGGTCAAAGTTAAGTTTTTGAGTTTTGTCTTTTTTTCTAATACTATATGCAATAGTTCAACTATATTTGGTGTATGGAAATATTTTATGATCTATATGTCAGTCACGCAGGTTTTTTTTTTACCTTGACCTCATTTTCAAGGTTCATTGCTCAGTTTTAAGTTTTTGTGTTTTGGTCTGTTTTTCTTAAACTATAAGCAATAGGTCAACTATATTTGTTGTATTGAAGAATTGTTAGCTGTACATGCCTGCCTAGCATGGTTCATCTGACCTTGACCTCATTTTCTTGGTTCATTGGTCAATGTTTAGTTTACTTGGTTAATGTTAAGTTTATGTGACAGTTGTAATAAAGCTTTATATTTAGGACTATCAACATAATATCAATGATTAGTAAAGAAGGCGAGACATTTCAGCGTGTGCACTCTTGTTTCATTCATAAATTACTTTATACTTGGAAATATAATTTTGCTTGGAGTTATAGTTTCTAAAAAAAGTATTGTCATTGAAAGAGTTGACATGTTGCAATGTACATTTATTCTACATAGTTCTATGGTACCAAATCAAAAGTTTATATTAAAGAAAGAAGTCAAAGGTTTCCCATCATAGTTTAGTTACATACATTTTTTTTGTACCTGAGGTCGTTGAATACAGATCATTATATAAATAAGGAGATGTGTTATGATTGCCAATGAAACAACTATCATCCATACATTGTACTTACCAGTAACAAACCACATTTGCAAAGTTGAATAAAATACAGTTGATAACATTTACTTATTACTTAAAAGAAAATGCCAAACTATTTTAAACAGTATTTGACTATAAACATAGATAAAAAAGGTACTAACTGGACATAATGCACTAGTTCGTAAACAAGTGAGAACAATCGCCTTCATATAGTGCTCAGAATATGACATTCATAAAACTTGTTCAATATCATTAGAGAACTCTAAATCTGAAATACTGAAAGCCACCTCTGATAAGTACAATGTACTATGCAAGATAATGATATAACTGGACTAAAAATACACACAACCTGTAATTAACTGCCTTTACAGCGCTTTCACGCTTTGATTTATTGGTGCAGATGATAAGAAATATTTTATTCCAATTTGCCTTTTATATTTAAGCAAGATATACATCCAAACCTTGAAAATACTGAAGATATCAGGATTGTTTGTGTTGCTCACATAAGAATTTTCCATCAAAATGTCTGTCAATTTTCTTCAGATAGCAACATTTTTTTAAGGTGTCCTTTATTTAAAAAATATAATGTGAATAGATCTATTTTTTGTCAAAAAGTTATTACTTATACATAAGTCTAACATGTATTCCAAAACAGAACTTCATTAGTGTTGATTTTGTCAAACATAATTTTGGGAATTTTTCAACTTTCTTATTTGGAATCTGCCTCCATCCATCAGTCCGGCAAATCAGTTTTCCACACTTTTTTTCTTCATGCTTGAAGATATTGATTTGATATTTAGTGTATTGTTTTATCATGACAAATTACAGATCAAGTTAGAATTTTGTTCCGGTCTGATGATTTTGTGCAGAGTTATGGTCCTTGGACTTAGAAAATTAACTAAAATAATCATTTTTCAGCACTTTTTTTCGTCATGCTTGAAGATATTGATTTGAAAATTGGTATATAGTTTAATTTACACCATGACAAGTAATAGATCAAGTTAGAATTTTGTTCAAATACAATGAATTTTTAACCGGTAGGGGACTATGTATTGCCATGCAATGCGCACAGAATGCTTGTTGATCATCATTTCCACTTGCAAATGCATTTTAGACGCAGTTAAAATTTATGCGATGTCATAGCAAATTGCATAACTTATAATGTTAATTTTGAAATGTTGATTTTGGTTGTAAAAAAACACATATATATATATAAAATCTTTTATTTCAGAACCTAATCTCCATGATCCTGTTATTGAATCTAGAACTAAGAACAAACGAGGCGTTCCAGTGCTACGTGGAACGATTTTAGAAAATGAAAGTACAGTTCAGTTGGATCAGCCTTTACAGGCTACGGATGCTGATGAAATGGGTGGAGCAAGTAAGTTATATATTTTTTTTTAAACCAAATTCTTTGAAAATTGACAAATGACCTTCGACATGTTTGAGGAATAGGATCCCCTGGCACTCACTAATGAAAAATCATAAGACCAGTCTACTAATTCAGTGGGCTTAGTTCTGAATTCTACATCACACAACTGGCACTTTAACAGACAGACAAAACAATGAAAGTCTTGGATGCAACAATGTTTTCTAATGAATTCGTATTTTAATTGACATATTCTGACTTTTAAGACACAAGTGAAAGACATGCATTGAATTTCTTGCCAAGTGACTTGTTCTTCATTGATTAAGAGCTCGAGTTGCTCCTTCATCATAAACCAGCTACTTGTGATTTATAGAATATTTCTCCAATATTAGAAATATCAAGAATATTATGATTCAGAATTTTGAGCTACTCTTTTATCTTAAACCAGCTTTTTCATTTATAGAGAAATATCAGAAATATGGTGGGTCAGAATTTTGAGGTTCAGTCTTATATAAAAACTGGACAAACATGACAAATGTACTGTGTTGCATAATTTTTAAAAGAGAGATAGACAAAAGTAAATGTTGTTGATAAACATTTATACAGGGATTAACTGGTAACATTTATCTACTGCTTATAAGATTATCAAACATATGTCTCACAGTCTGTTCATAATGATTTAATGCACAGAATGTAAAGTACAGAAATGCATGTACAATTTATGTTTTATTTATTATGACATCTTTAGATTTAAAAAATTTGCACTAAGATTTGAAATTTCACTAAAAATTTAATATACATGCACTGTAAATTTGTAAACTTTACATACAGACAAATAATCTATGAAGTATATCCAGGTAAAAAAGAAGGTAAAAATGTTGATTTGTAATTTCAAAGACAAACAGGTGTTCCTGTGTTACAGGAATGCAGACATTATTTTGTATAATGATTAAGTCGTAAATCATTAATTTGTCACAAAGTCCTGAATATTTGAAAAGAAACGGTAAAGAACTATAATGAACTGATTGTGGCGGGAAGGACAGATATTTCATTGACATTTGTCAATTCATAGTTTTAATGTTTTATAACCTTAAAAGTTAACTTAATAAATGTACCTTGCTGCGCTGGAAAACATATTTTATTAAAATGTCTTTTTGTTGAATGCAAAGATTATCCTTAATAATTTTATTGATGACTTTTTGGTTCTAATGTACCTGTTAAATTAAGTAGGAGGATTTTCTGATTAAGTGTAAATAATTCTGATAAACATCAATAAATGGCTTCCCTGTCTGACAACCAGAGATAAAAGTTTTAAGCTCTTCCTTCATAAAATACTGTTTCATTTATTGAATCCATACATAATCGTATGTGTAGCTACATACGCCTACTGGTAAAGTACTGAACTAATAGGAGTACATACATTTTGTTATGACTGCATTTGTACAACCACATGTCACCTATTCACAAAAATGACAAAGGATTGGTTCAAAATCTAAATTTGTCCAGTGTTCAAAATTTCCCACCGCAGATTAGTCCATGAACCCTGGACTCCAGAGACTTAGGCTGGACTCTTACCCTTATTTTGTTTTGATGATCATGAACTTTCTTGCATAATGAATAAACAATAAAGGCTTTGGTTAATTGTGTTTCCTTTGATCTTTTGACTCATCATTTGCAAACATGTTCGTCTTTGGGCTTGCTTGAAAACATAAACATTGTTTAATGACAATATTGGTATATTTACATAAATAAACATCACTTCAACTTTTCACCACTGTATAGTTTCAGTTGCAGTCATTTGCTAAACTTGCATGGTGCCTACAAAATGTTTCATCTAGCCTTGCTTAATTACAGGATGTTCATGAAGGTCTGTTGTTAACCCAAGGCTTGGCATGCATGCTTTTTGTGATTTGATCATATTAAGAAGACACCATTTTCTGTCAAAACCATGTTTCCTTGGCTACAGTACTAGTGTACAACTGTACATGCATGAAATTTGTTGGTGAGATTTGCTGTTCTCACAGTACAACTGATAAATAAATAACTAGAAAATCTCTTGATACACAAAGTTGAAACTGACAGTCAATGACATTTATTTGAATTAAAGAAACAGAATGAAAGATTTAAGAACAGTGACATGTTAAACCAAACAATTAGTCATTCTATACACAAAGGTTGTACCTTGAAATGTCAATGTATCTCAGTGCATATGGATGTTCTTTGTCAATGTTTCTTTGACAGATGATATATTTCAATTTAAAAAAAAAGAAAGAAACCAATTTGTATCTATATACTAGGAATTTAAAACTTGATAGGAACACTAAATTTCCATTATTAACAATCATATGTTTCAGAACTTTGTATTTAAAGGCTTTGCTTACAGTGTATTCATTTACAATGAAAATGGTGATTTGTTAATTGTTTCTTATTTTAATGCTAGACAGAATTGAAAATGGGAAGTTATGAATAATTAAAAGAGGAAGTGAAAAATCGTTTGCCTTTATAAAGTTTTACTTATTTAACTTTAGAGGTCAGGTTTCTCCCTCCACCAGTTTATTAACACAAAATAGTGCAGAAATAATCATTAAAATAAGGGTTTCCCCTGGGTCAATTTTCTATTTTGCCACCCCTTTTGACAAAACAATGTTTTTTTGCCAACTTATATCCTTTTTTGCAAATAAAAGAATTTCAATTTGCCATGTCGTATTCTCTTGTACATGTAGAAATTTTAAATTAACGATTTAGTTTAAATATGCTAAAATTAACTGGCTGCTTTGAAATAAAGATTGATTGATTGGTGATTGGTTTATGCCGCATCAGCACAAAAAGGCTATATCATGGCGATTGAATTAAAGAAGATGTACACATCAGATAAACGGTATAGGAAGGGTGGGGTTAAAAAAATGCCCTTTTATTGATTGATTGTTTGTGTTTTAAAGCCACTTTCTGCACTATTGGCTGTATCCTTATTCCTAACACTGATACACAGGAGATGAGCTACTAAGACCACTTGGCCACCCTTTTATAGCACTGGATACAGTATTTTCATTCATAAAGAATCTCAATTTCATTTGGCCGCTGTAAATGCAAAAATTACAATTTATTACATTCATGACATTGCATTGGTTGCAATGAATTACCGTGATTTCCCAGTGAAATAAAAACCTATAATTTCACATGTGAAATATACTCAATAATTTCACTCCTCTGACGTCATACAACAAAAGGTGTTGTCAAGAAGTTGTCAATGACCTTGCATCAAAACAAATTGTGAATGCACAGGAAAGGATATAGTTCCTTGCATTTTCCACTTTGTTTTCATTAAAAAGCCAATTTAATAATCAATGTAATAAAAAGAATAATTAATCAAAGAATTCAAATATCGAAAAATATTCAACTCGTGACCGAACATCGATTACTTATTCTATAATTATTATATAATTAGTATTTATGCAGAAAATTGGTGTGGTGTTTAGCACATTTGATATAAGTAATAAAAAATTATCAACAGTAATGTACTGTCAGACTGATCTAACAGAGTTTTATATAGCAGTAATAATTCTGGCATTTTTGATAGTTGTGACGAATTTGCAATAATGAGAACATGCATTATTTGCTAATGTGTGAATAAGCATGATTTTTAGTCATGATTTGAGTTGATAATTTAATAAAGATTATCACCAAGACTGCATGAATAATTTTTTATAGCTAAAACTACATGTATGTAATTGAAGTCATAAAATATACTTGCTAAAGGATAATCTCTTTTCTGAGTGATAATGTTATCATATATATATACGAGAATTATTAGATTAGTGAATGATTTTCTTTTGTTTTATAATCATTGACATTTATGATATACCAGATTGTCTGTAAACATGGTAAATATGACAAGGGGAGTGCAGCTCAGATTGTCAGTAAATAAGACAAGGGAGTGCAGCTCAGATTGTCTGTAAATATGACAAGGGGAGTGCAGCTCAGATTGTCTGTAAATATGACAAGGGGAGTGCAGCTCAGATTGTCAGTAAATAAGACAAGGGAGTGCAGCTCAGATTGTCTGTAAATATGACAAGGGGAGTGCAGCTCAGATTGTCTGTAAATATGACAAGGGGAGTGCAGCTCAGATTGTCTGTAAATATGACAAGGGGAGTGCAGCTCAGATTGTCTGTAAATATGACAAGGGGAGTGCAGCTCAGATTGTCTGTAAATATGACAAGGGGAGTGCAGCTCAGATTGTCTGTAAATATGACAAGGGGAGTGCAGCTCAGATTGTCTGTAAATATGACAAGGGGAGTGCAGCTCAGATTGTCTATAAATAAGACAAGGGGAGTACAGCTTAGATTGTCACTAAATAAGACAATGGGAGTGCAGCTCAGATTGTCTGTAAATATGACAAGGGGAGTGCAGCTCAGATTGTCTGTAAATATGACAAGGGGAGTGCAGCTCAGATTGTCTGTAAATATGACAAGGGGAGTGCAGCTCAGATTGTCTGTAAATATGACAAGGGGAGTGCAGCTCAGATTGTCTATAAATAAGACAAGGGGAGTACAGCTTAGATTGTCACTAAATAAGACAATGGGAGTGCAGCTCAGATTGTCTGTAAATATGACAAGGGGAGTGCAGCTCAGATTGTCTGTAAATATGACAAGGGGAGTGCAGCTCAGATTGTCTGTAAATAAAACAAGGGGAGTGCAGCTCAGATTGTCTGTAAATATGACAAGGGGAGTGCAGCTCAGATTGTCTGTAAATTAGACAAGGGGAGTGCAGCTCAGATTGTCTGTAAATATGACCAGCGAAGTGCAGCTCAGGCCAAAAATTAAAATGTTATTTTTTCTCTTTACATTACTATCTACCTATAACAATTGACCCTACCAAATTGATTTTATTGTCTCTTCTGTATGTGTCACATAGGGGTTACTCGGCAATGTAAGCTATTTGTATAAACTCTATATTTCAGACGATAAAAGACCTGGATGCTTCATACCTTGTATGCAGATACAGATATATAGTAT